TCGGCGGCCTTGACGTCCAGCTCGGCGGAAGGCAGCTCGATGCTGAGATCACTGGTCTTGACGTCGCCCTGCACCGAGGGCAGGGTCACCTCGGCCTGAGTCTTGAGCCCAGACCCCTCCAAGGAGGCTTCGACGGACTTGCTGGGTGCTGACACCCCGAAGGATGGCATCTTGAACTTGGGCATTTTGAACTTGCTGTCTGTGACGGCCACCTCCTTGTCCCCAAGGGACACTTCGCCCGCCAGCATGATGCCCGCGGCCTGGCTGTCCACCTCCACGCTGGGCAGTGACACCTCCACGTCGGGGGTCATCACCTCGCCCTTGGCATTCTGCAATTCCAGTTTGGGCCCCTTGATATCCACCTGGGGGCCCTTGATGTCCACCTTGGGCACCGTGATGCTGGGCATCTGCACCTTGGGCAGGTGGCCCTTGAGTCCGATTCCCGCCACTGCTTCCTTGATCTCTGCTTCGGGAGGGTGGCCCTCTGGGAGTTTCACGCCCACCTCGGCAGCCTTGACATCCAGCTCGGTGGAGGGCAGCTCGGTGCTGATGTCACTGGTCTTGACGTCGGCCTGCACCGAGGGCAGAGTCACTTCGGCCTGGGCCTTGGGCACGGACACCTCCATGGCGGCCTGGACGGACTTGCTGGGCGCTGACACCCCGAAAGACGGCATCTTGAACTTGGGCATTTTGAACTTGCTGTCTCTGGTGGCCACCTCCTTGTCCCCAAGGGACACATCGCCCACCAGCTTGGTGCCCGCGGCCTGGGTGTCCACCTCCACGCTAGGCAGCGACACCTGCATGTCGGGGGTCGTCACCTCGCCTTTGGCGTCCTTCAGGTCCAGTTTGGGCCCCTTGATGTCCACCTGGGGGGCCTTGATGTCCACCTTGGGCACCTTGATGCTGGGCATCTGCACCTTGGACAGGTGGCCCTTGAGTCCAATTACAGCTGCTGTTTCCGTGGGCTCCACTTCGGGAAGGTGGTCCTCCGGTTGCTTCAGGCCCACCTCGGCGGCCTTGACCTCCAGCTTGGAGGAGGGCAGCTCGATGCTGAAGTCACTGGTCTTGACGTCGGCCTGCACCGAGGGCCGGGTCACCTCGGCCTGGGCCTTGGGGCCAGACCCGTCCAAGGAGGCTTCGACGGACTTGCTGGACGCTGACACCCCGAAGGACGGCATCTTGAACTTGGGCATTTTGAACTTGCTGTCTCTGGCGGCCACCTCCTTGTCCCCCAGGGACATGTCGCCCGCCAGCATGATGCCCTCAGCCTGGCTGTCCACCTCCACGCTGGGCAGTGACACTTCCACATCAGGGACCTTCACGTCGCCCTTGGCGTCCTTCAGGTCCAGTTTGGGTCCCTTGATGTCCACCTGGGGGGCCTTGATGCTGGGCATCTGCACCGTGGGCAGGTGGCCCTTGAGTCCGATTCCCGCTACTGCTTCCTTGGGCTCCGCTTCGGGATGGTGGCCCTCCGGGAGCTTCACGCCCACCTCGGCGGCCTTGACCTCCAGCTCGGTGGAGAGCTGCTCAATCCTAAGGTCACTGGTCTTGACGTCGGCCTGCACCGAGGTCAGGGTCACTTCGGCCTGGGCCTTGGGCACGGACACCTCCACGGCGGCCTGGACGGACTTGCTGGGCGCTGACACCCTGAAGGACGGCATCTTGAACCTGGGCATTTGGAACTTGCCGTCTCGCTCTAGTCCACCTTGGCCTTTCACATCCGTCTCTAACGTTTCTACTGTGATGCTGCTCTCCTTTTCCTTCTCTGTTTCCTGGAGTTGTGTCGCTTTGTCTCCTTTTGCCTCCTTCGCTGGCGACCACCCAAAGGAGGGCAGCTTGAACCTTAGCATTTTCATCTTCCCCTCCTTTTCGTCCGTGTGCGGGCCCCCGCCCTTGCTGTCCTCGTCTCTCTTCTGGGCTGCATCTTCCTCCGTTGCTCCTCCCTCTTGCGCTGGCGGATGGACTGGGGGTTGTCTGGGCCTGTGCTTTTCTGCTTCCCCTGCATCCTCCCCCTTGGCCTCCGTGCCCTCAGCAGAGACCCTTCTCTGCCGTGGTCCCTGCTGGAGAGCTGTCGCGGCTCCTTCTTTCTCGAGCACTTTTTCTTTGTAAAGTCCAAACTTGGGTGTCTTTAAAGTGGGTATGCGGACATGGAATTCTGGTTGGTGGTTTTGGTGGATGCCTTGGTCTGCTGAGTCTTGCAGAGACAGCCTGGCAATGCCGGCCTCCAGCGCCTGCGTGCCTTCCCCGGCCCCCTCCCTGCTCTGTCCTGGCGCTGGGCCCAGCCCGGCGTTTCCCTGGGGCACAGTCTCCCCCCTGTCCTTGGCCTCTTTTGTCTTTCTTCGGGGTCTGGGTGCTGGGCCGGCCCCTTCCCCGGGGGCTCCCTCAGTGGGGAGGCCGGGCTCCGTGGGGGGCTCGGCGGCCTCTGGCACCCCTGCCGTCCTGTCCTCTCTCCCGCCATGGGCGGCAGCCCTGGAGGCCTCTCGCCCGGAATCCCGGGGCCCTGTCTCCACCAGGACCCCAGCCTGGACTGTCCCCCCGTGGGCTCCCCTGCCCGACAGCCCCTTCCCTGAGCCCACCCGGAATCTCAGGTTCGGGAAGCTTTTCTTCCGCTGCCTGCCTGGCCCTGCTTCCGGGAGCTGGGCCTCCGTGTCTGTGCTCGTGGGGGACAGGTCAGGCACGTCCCCTCGCTCGCTGGCCTCCGAGGAGCTGTGCGACCTCCGGGGCCCTGGCCCACGCTTGCTCTTCAGAGCTTGGAATTTGGGCCAGGAGAGCCGCTCCCTCTGGGGCTGCCTGCCTCTGCCCTCCCTGGGCTTGGAGATGAGCCTCTCCTGGTCTCCATCCTCCTGCAGCGTCTCCGTGGGGGTCTCCGTGCGCCCTTCGGCGATATCCTGGTCCTGAAACAGGGAGAGAGCACCTTTTGGGCCGCCGTACAGGGAGTCGAAGGCAGGGGCTCCGGGGACGGGAGGGGGCAGTGGGGGTCCCCTCCCAGCCTCAGCCTGGGCACCCGGCCATGCAAGCGCACCTGCTTCTTGCTGCCCCTCGAGCCACGCGGAGCGCCGCCGGAAGCTCCCTCCTCGTCCTCCCGGGCGGGAAGCTGCCGCCTGACTGTGAACTGAACCTTGTACGGCTCTGAGTACTGGAGGATTTTGAGAGCGTCTTCGTATTTAATGTCGTCAAAGAATATGGTTGTGCTGAGCAGCTGATCCCCTAGACGAAGACAGAGCGGTCCCCGCACCTCAGTGCCCCGGACCTCGTCGGGCCTCACGGGAGGGGTCCACAGGGGTGCATGACCGAGGAGGCGACCCTGCTCAGGCTGCCCGGCCCCTTCCTTCTCTTGAGCCCCGGGTGGGAAGGAGCCCCCATTTCCAAGCAGAAAACCTGTCAGAGCGGGTGGCCCCAGCCCGGACACGGCTAGGTAGTCTCTAGGGACTCATCTGAGTCCACTGTGGCCCGTCCCCCTCAGGCCCCACCCGATCCTGACGGGACCATGGGGACGTGGGGGTGGGGTCGTGGCACCCGATCCTGATGGGACCACGGGACGTGGGGATGGGGGACCACGGGGACGTGGGGATGGGGCCATGCTGAGTCCACTGTGGCCCGTCCCCCTCAGGCCCCATCCGATCCTGACGGGACCACGGGATGTGGGGATGGGGGACCACGGGACGTGGGGATGGGGGACCACGGGGACGTGGGGATGGGGGACCACGGGACGTGGGGATGGGGGACCACGGGGACGTGGGGTGGGGCCGTGGCACCTTCTCGCAGGCTGAAGAGCTTGGCAGCTGAGGACTCCTTCAGCACCTGCTTGACAAAGATCCCCTGGTCCCCACCGCCCGTGACAATGTAGCCACTGGCTCCGGCCTCCACCTTGGTCTTCAGTGTCCCCTCCGTCGCCTCCTGCGTGGACTAGAAGCACATCGGGCCCCAGTGAGCATACGCCCGCCCCACAGTGGGCATGGCTGCTGGGAGGCTGCCTCCCCTGAGGCCAGGGACCCCGGAGTCCTCCGTCATTGGGCAGCTGAGCCCGGGCACGGGGTCCAGGCTCTGGGGGAAGCCAGCTGCCGCCGTCTCAGCTGGGAGCAGCCTCCCCTGTCCCCGACCCCTCCTGCCAGGACTCAGGAGCAGCCCGGCCCCGACCGTCCGGGGCCAGCGGGGCTCGACAAGCAGCGGGGAGGGTCTTCTGCCTGCACGTGGCCAAAGCGCTCCTTCATCCGCTCCTGGCTCACCGCCACCCTCACTCCAAAGCGCTCCTTCATCAGCTCCTGGCTCACCGCCGCC